TATATCAATTTTATCCTTCTTTGGAAGGCTCGGAATAAGTAAAGATTTGATAAATTATACTTTGAAAGTACCTACTTAAAAGGTTAAATCTGCATTTGTGATTAATACAAAAGCTTCAATCACTGATTAATTTCAGACGGGCTAGTTTTTGAAGACAATGTAAATTTTGATAAGAGAACTAAGAATTTGCAAATATTAAATCTTCATTGCTAAATCAATAATTTACGTAGAGGCGATACAGATTACCAAAATCACTTGATTTTGGACACCCAAAAACAAACTATGGACGAAAATGTCTAAGTGATTTACTCTTTTCCTCCATTCAAGTAGTATCTATTTTCTTTCTAACATATTCCTATGCAGATTAACGCAATTTGGTCCATTTCTGAGTTCACAGCTAACATTTTGTTACCGGTGCGCGTTCCAGGTTGATTGAATATTCTACAGGAAACTTTCACAAAAGACTTTACACTGAATATAGTGATTTAATTACACAGACCAGTTTTGCAAATCTGGTTACTAAAACTATTAAAACTTTGCCTCAACTCACCGGGCACATTTAATCCTAACTATACTGAATAAACGGCACTTTAATCACATGGTAAACGGTCAGAATGAAAATATGTCCAGCGTCATTTATGGCATGTCGTATTGTATCTTTCTCCCAATTATTCCCAATTTCTTTCTGGTACAGACCAATTTTTTGGAAGATTGACAAATTAAAAGAACAGACTAAAGCTTCCATCAATATATTAGGCCTGGGGAAGTCAACGAATTTTTAGGAGTGTGGAGAAAAAACTGTGGTTTCTGAGTTTAGACTGCTTTAGATTCTACTCAAAAACGCTCTACTTTGAAGAGTTTCACTTAAAAATACTGACAGTCTCAAAGTCTTTTACGCGAAAAACTGCAAATACATTTATAACTTTGTCGGAATTTTACAATCACTTTTTCAGTGTCGACTTCGGGACAAAACCGCAAATACATTTCCCCAGGTTTTTTTCGAAAATCATTAAGGTTTTCCCAAACCCAGCTTACAAGGCCAAAAAAACCAGGAAAATTTTCAAAATAAATTTTATTGGAACAGTCGCGTCCTTAACAGCTTTGTAAAAATGTGTCTAGAACTTTTGCCGCTTCGAATTTCTGACAAAACCTTAATAAGTTTATAATCAATTAGTTGGGAAACGCGATTAGAAAAATATTTTATTAGTTTCGATCGATTCAGCTTATTTTCTGTTTAATTTTGAATGATTTTGCTAAATCAATTTTTGATATGATTCCGAATTTTTTCTGTTAACCTTGTGACATATGTTGAGTTGGCTATAGAGGGATATGTGGTCAAGCTTTTCAACCTTTTTGGTCAACAAATTAAACCTTTTAAAAGAACGCGTTTTTCGGCATCAGCTAATGGTTTATTAGACAAAATCTTAAGCTTAATAGCAATTTACTGTAATTTTATGGAACTTTCCTCGGAACTTGATGTTCCAAGAGTACGGTTTTCCATTCTGCTGGCTAAAAATATTGAAATAACGAAATAGCATATCTATTATTTGGATCTTAGGCGGCCTTCTGGATTCAAAAGGATACGGCATTGCAACGCCTAAAGGCAGCCCATGGAGGGACAAGATTTCTCTTGCAATTTTGGAGCTTCAGGAAAAAGGCGTGATTCAAATATTATACGATAAATGGTGGAAAAACACGGGCGATGTGTGCACCCGAGATGACAAAAGCAAAGAGTCCAAAGCCAACGCTCTAGGAGTGGAAAACATCGGTAAGCCAACATGAATTGAAACTTTAAAGCGATTTATTCTAACAAGAGCCGGTAAACGAACTTTACTCAATAAATTGATCAATTGGGGTCAAAATCACATAGAAGTAAACTGGATTTTTCCGAGTGAACTTCATTTACTACGTGATCGAACTTTGAGGTGAATAAAATGGGCGAAAGTTTGACCAACAATGTTACATTGTTTTGAGACCTGTTGAGTTCGGGATCTGGCTTCTAAACCGACGAAAAGTTCCCGACTCTCGACTGAATTTATAAATTATGAGCGACGGTGCAAACCTTCCAAAAGGGCACACGGGGAACGTTTGGAATGTTCTTGTTCGCCACATGAATAGTTTTACAGTCGCATTACAGAGCAGATTAGTCATTGCAAGCATTTAGCGCAGTTCCATATCGTTAATTAAATTTGTTAAACGGAGAAAGTGGCAAATAATTAGATAAATTTAACAGATGCACTGTCACTGGTTTCGTCTGATTTTTGTTTAAATAGGTGGAGTTTTCGTTGTTTTGTTATGCGGATTAGCCGTAGCGATATTGGTGGCGATTCTGGAGTTCTGCTGGAACAGCAGGAAGAACGCCCAGACAGATCGACAGTCGCTTTGTTCCGAAATGGCCGAAGAGCTTCGATTCGCCATGAGGTATGAGATTCGTCAGCGTTTGTAGGCCCAAAATTTTGAAAACTAGGTTCCTTTGGTAGATGTCACGGATCCAGGCAAAGGCCAGCTTTGAGACGAAGCTGTGCCAGATGCAGTCCAGCTACCACATATGTGCCAGCTGCTCTGGATTTGCCGCATCTCAACGGAGTAAGTATTTTCATTAAGTCCTTTATTCTGATTTATTTTCCTCACTGCGTGTACTTGTTATGATATTCTTATCTTTCCTGGGTCTCAGTCAAAGTGTGAAGTAAAAATTGTGAAACATCGTTTATTTCATAACGTTTTGGCGAGACAACAGCGCCATCATCAGATTTAACATTTACACAAACTCATGATTGGTCAAAATCAAAGTTCTTCTAGGCCTTCCTGAACCTTAAATTTGTCTTATAAGCTTATAAGAGGCCAACATTTCTCACGTGCAGACTGGAGCGACTGGACACTGAAAATTTTGGACGGTTCTAATCACTGTGAGC